TCTACGAATTAAAGCATAATGAATGTTTGAACGGTGTTCTAAGTTAATGAGATGAAGCTAAATGTTGAAGCGTTGGGATGTACCTCATGCAAACAGGTGTACTGCACATGATACGGAGCCACTTTCTCCTCTCCTTTGATCTCCACGTTGATTTGCAGCCGAATGGCACCAGACACGGCCGACTTGTCCGTCCTCTTCTCTGTAATCAGACACAAATACAGTCATTCACTTCATTGCACCTTCCCGATTCATAACTCCGATCCAGCCCAGTGCCTGGGCCATGCTTTAGACCAATCTGTTAACACAACTGTAATTACAGGTTATTAAGGTGGCAGCTCTATTGTGTGTGTGTGGCGGGGGTCTCTACAGCTCAATGGCAGCGCTAACACATGCATCAGGAGCTCATGTGGATGGCCAAAGATGTTTAAAGCAGAGGTTCTGTGGAGGTGGACCGCCTGGCAGCTCAGCCCTGCTATTTGCCCTGACAGGGACATTATTAAGGGTAATTTTCACACGTCAGTAGCAGGGACAGCTTCCAGCTACGTGATAATTTCCAGTTGTGAGAGAAATAAAGAAGAAAAACGAAGGAAGGAGAAGACAAAATGTTTCAGATGATTTGGGTATTTATAACTACAGATCCTAGTTTGCTATCAATGACATCAGAAGCATGTTCCTGTGTTTAGAGTTAAAACAGTGCAGCATTAGCTAAGGTGTTCGACCTGTTATCAGTGGGTTGACAGTTCGACCCACTGCAGCTGTGGTTCATAACAATCAGCAGGTGAATGAATATAATGCAACACGCTTTCAGGTGTTTGATTTGATTGACAATCAGTGGACCTTTTAATTCCAAGAAATCTCAGATGCTGGAAAAATGTTTATTTTAGCATATTTTATTTTATTATAGTATATTTTTCAGTTGAATTGACTTGGGGGGGAAAAATGCAGATAAGAGCCATGTGAGAGAATCAACTACCGTAAATTCCGGACTATATCCGCTACTTTTTTCCTGCTGTCTGAACACTGCGGCCTATAATACAGTGCGGCTAATACATGTTTTTTTTCATGGCGCCGTGTGAAAGCATGCAGCATCAACGACGGCTTTCGGAAGGCTGGGCTGCTGCGGGATGAAGAGGACCGCGAGTGCTCAAGTGAGAGCGACAAGGATGAGACTGAAGTCAGTAACATCATCCTGAAGCTGTTCCATTCAGACACCGAGGAAGAGGACTTTGAGGGTTTTAGTGCGCAGGAGGAAGAAGAAAGTGATTAATGACTTTTCCTGGTCGGCTGCTATGTTGTGCGCTTTATTCAATTAAAAGTAACGGTATATGCAGCATTATTTGCGTGTTACCGACACATACGTATATTTAAATGTGTTACAGGTATTTTGAAATAAAAAGCATTCATAATATGTACCGTATTTGTTTGTTTTATCATACGGATTAAATCAAATGTTAAAAAAATGCTCACGTGTAATATCTTTATTTGTAAATATCTCATACAACGTGGGAAACCTGCGGCTTAAAATCCGGTGCGGCTTATAAAAGTAAAGAATTGATTTTCTTTCTAAAATTAGAGCGTGCGGCTTGTAATCAGGTGTGCTCTATAGTCCGGAATTTACGGTAATTTGATTTCTTTTTCATTTCTTATTTTACTATTTGAAAGCAGGGATCGGTAGGATCATAGAGCAGCAGAGTGATGTATCTTCGGTTTATAAGGCATGCAGAATAAGTTTATTCACAATATTGATATTAATAATTTGGTTTAAAAAACAATGTGTTAGGTCTTGGTTCAATAAGTTATGTTAATTTCAATATGTTTTAATATACATCTAACCAGTCCGACCCTAGGCTTTTTGGCCCTCAATGTATTTGACTTTGACATCCCTGATTAAGAAGGAGGGCATCGCAGTATAATTGAGGTCGATTAGCAGAATCTGTCATTTCATCCAGCAGGGGTCTCTCTTGCACCCAAATTGGCTTATTCCTTGCTATACTGACCCAGGTTGTACCAGACGTCCATTTCTCCGCTCAGAGTTCGAACTTCGATGATACTCTGGCCCAAGAAATCATCCGACTCCCTCTTCAAGCGCTGCTTCACTCTCGACTTGATGTCATCGTCTTCGTCCCAAACGCGAACTTTGATGCGGTCCGAAGAGTTGTGGCATTCGCTAAATGGAAAAACATAACCCCCAAAAGCTAATTAATACCATTGATAATCTTATGAAAAAAACAGTTTTGAGGCAATTATTCCCCAAACAAAAGCTCCAGTTTTTTGGTTTATATATGATGCTTACAAGTGAAACTTTTCCTCCCAGACTGGGTTGAGGTTGCCATAAATGGTCTTGGTTCTCTTCTTGGTCTTGCCCACCTGAACTGTCACATATGGATCACTGGAACCGGTCTTGTCTTTCGCCTGAAGTCCCTGAGCACAAACCACTAAAACAGAAACAAATCCACTCAGCAGGCAGACTAAACACTAAATAGATGAGTGTGAGGTGACCATTTTAACCGGCGTGATACCCGTGATGGTGATCTTGGCTGACCACTTCGAGGTCCCGTCCAACACGCTCTGTTTGATGGTCTTCATCTGCTGAGCATGAAGGGCTTTAGCGACATCGAACACTTCCCTGATCAGCTCGAAGATCTCCGGTTTGTTCCTTTCTCGGATCTTCATCCTGTCTTTCATGGCCATGATGATATTCTGGGTGCGATCTTCTGCTCCATGCTTGGAGCTTTTCTCAGCCGCTCCTAAACATTTAGCAAAGATAGGAGCAAAAATAGAAACAGTTGGAGATATAAGACATTAAAAGGTTAAAGGCACCAAAACATGGAACACATTACCTGCAGAACTGAAGGGAGAGTCAAACTGGGTCCTTTTTAAACATAAACATAAAGACTTTTTATTGAGAGGTCAGTCATGTGAACATTAATAATCTAACTGACCTGATTTTAT